GGAACTAGCCGAAGACAGGCAGTCAGAGGAGGGAGGGAAGGAGGTGAATTAAACGCTGAAGTGATATAAGACGAGAGGGATTCAGAATGAACTGTCGCTGTGGTCCCCAGGAAGAAAAGATCCAGATCTTGCTTATGAATGATCTATGAACAGGTACGATGCCATCAAACCTCCAATTACTGCCAGGTACCCAAGAAGACTTAGGATATAAAGACAATGGGAACAAAGGCATACTAGACACAATTTACCAACAGATATCTTATTGTTATGTACATTTCAACAAATATCTGAAGCACTGTTCTAAGCACTGGGAAGAAGATAGTCAAATACACTGGTCTCACGGAGGAAAGATCTCCCATTAGTAGACATGGCCGACGGAGTCCTATTCCAATCAATAAACATGCTACTTAGTCTTCTTAGGAAGAAACAATGATAATAACCACTCAATAAACATTGGATCCCACATGCTAGTTCTGTGCCAAATGTAAGACACAGGCCATTCATCTTCCCAGTAGCCTCTGATATATAGCAATGCTGTTAGGCACATTACGTAGATTTGGAAACTGAGGCTTAGAAAGATTAAATCATTACACACGTTTCTACGACGAGTACATAGTCAAGACAAGATGGGCTCAAAACCTGTAACCTTACTTGGGTTATCGCCATGGATTTCCATAGATTGTTTTTTTTTTTAACTTGAATTCGGCCCAGCTCATGCTGCCAGCCAAGTCACACTAATATCTGTCTTCAGCAGACCCTCCACCATTGAAAAACCATAAATAACTCAGACTTTATGTAGGACGCCGAGTCTTACGTTGAGATTTAAGGTCTTCTAAGACTTAGCTCCGACCTATCCTTGTAGCTTCATCTCCCATGCCAATGGAGCCTCTCGTCATTTCTTGAACGACTTTCGCACTGCTCTATCGACCCCTGTACCTTTTTGATCGAAACACACCTCTGTTTCTGTTTGCCACCAGCAACCTTCAAGAACCTCAAGCCGTCATTCAGGACCATCTGTGAACACCACTCTTCTGTGAGGCTCTTCCTAAATGTCTACTCCCTTTCCAGAAAGATGAGATCTGAGCCCTCAAACCGCCTGGCTTTACAACTGCTCAGATGTCTGCTTCCATCAATGTAATTGGCTCACTTTACTTTCTATCTGTAATTCTTATAGCACTTAGCCTGGTGCCTTTGCTGAGTGAATTGGGTTCACTTATGGTTCACAGTAAACAATGAGGTGAAGGAAATGCCTAACTATTCAGGGTATTTTATTTTCATTATTCCCAATGCTTCATTCACCTTGTATATTCCACATATGTATGTTCAAAACATAAAAGACTTGCTTGGCCAGTGGAAACAAAGGTGCACGAGTGGTCTCAAAGCTTAGTGACTGTTTTTGGTATGCCAGGTTGTAATTAAAAATAAAAATAAACACTTAGGTTGGGGTCTGTCTTTCGAGAGAGAATTTGAAAACGGAAAATATTTAAAAGGTTTGAGTGGCATCATCATCATCATTTTGATTAACAAAATGATTAGTCTTGTTTCTGATAAGGCTGCACTAGAGAATATAGCTTTGATTTGCAGCCACAGCTGTGCCTCCTAAGTCCACATCTTAGTAAGAGATGCCTACTGGGCACTTGGCATGAACCACATACATGGAGAATATCTGCCTCAAGTGTGCCAAGCCCCTGAGGTGGGGGCAGTGGGAACCTCCAGAACAGCATCTAGAAATCAGGCCTGTGCCCTGGTCTATTTGTATTTGCCACACACAAGCAGGAAAAGGCAAACATGATTTGCCTTTTGTGTGTGGGAGACACACAAGTCCTAAAGCAGAGTTAGAATTACTAAAACCTCCTCAAGGATTAAGTTTCTAACTCTCATTTAAAACTAATCTAATTCATGTGAAATTTTAAACTAAAGAGAAAAAAATATTAAAGTGGGATATACTAAAACGCAATCTTTCCATATTGTTGAAATAAGAATTTCTACTTTTTTAAACCAAACTTTGCCTTTATCTAAGTCTATAAAATAGCTGGATTACCTTAAAGGAAGAGATTGGGTTCAGTTTCAAGATCTGTGGAGTAACCACTGTACCTACTGAGCAGGAATTGTTTTCAGGCCATTTCTTACCTTGATCCGATGACATCAAAAAGATGCTGCCAGCGGTCGTTAATTTTGTTGAGCTTGTCATCGATCTCAGCTGCTCTTGTCTTGCTGCTGGCCTTGATCAACTGGTCGCCCATCTGCTTTAATTGTAACTTGCTTTCACTGAACAAGTTTATTTCTTCCATGCAGTCCTGGCAAAGGCGCCAAAACACAAAGCTTCAATTACTACCAAAATTCATTTCTTTGCCAGGCACAAATATACATACAGGTGCCTCTTGAAACTTTAAAAATGAAAAAGTTTCTCACACTTGTTAATACAAGTCTTCAGCGTGTAGCTGACAAGTCAGCGCCCACTTGGCACATGTGTAATACAGAAGGAAGCAGTTACTTTCTTGATTCAACAGTCTTGTTTTTCCCCCTCACAGGTTTCTTCTAATCTAAGCTACTTGAGAGTTGAGGACAAGTATAATTAATTAGCCTAACATCAGTAAGAGTTTTTCTGAAGTTTAACTGAGTGGCAAGAATGTTCTTTCTACTTTCCCCATGGGGACTAGTGCCATTTGCCAAGGGCAGCTCCCT